ATTCACAGTCAGGTGTTGTAACGTCTCCTTTAGTTTGGCTCTGCTGGGTTCAGATGTATCAATTTCTTGCATCTCATCCGGCAGGTCTATTTTCATGACCCGTGCTTGGTCATATGCCTATTGGCTATTTAGCACCTCATTAAAGTGTGCTAAAAATCTCCGGAATTTGTTGCCTTCATTACTGAGGATCTTGACATTTTTGTCCTTAACTCGAGCACTTTAACTTGCCTCTCTCTTTCATTACTCGTTGCTCCGAGAATACGGTGCCTTCGTGAGCTGTTATCTAACTGTATTTTCGGTTTTTTTGTTCGGCTCTGATGGGTTCAGATATTCTGACTTTCCTTAAGCTGAAACATAATTGTTCCATGTCATTAAAATCGCAGAATTCTTAAAGACATGGAAGTAAAACTTTTATTTTCCTTCTTGTAGAAATCTTGCCGAAAATAACATCAAAGGTGGATTTTATCTCCCTGGAAATGCTTCAAAAGTGTAAGTTCTGTTTCTTATTAACAAATAGATTCCATGTTAACGCGTAAAATGACGTCAAAATGTGTTGAGAACAAAAAAAGTGGCACAGGAGCAGTTATTTTGACGTCTTCTGTGATCTATTACTGAATAGGTGTACGGCAACTTGGAATCCAATTGTTTTATAAAGAAACGAAAAACATTGTTAGTGACGTCATCTATGTGTCTGTCCTCCAATAGATCATATGTAAGAACCAATCAAAATGCGAAGTAGTAACCGACATATTATATACTGACCACTATAGCACGCGTAGCCGTTCGGTTATTTTATAAATTTTGTTAAAGAAATAAAAAAAAAACATGGACCAAGTTGCTCTCGAGTTATAGAAATACGAATGGAAGTTTGGGAGAACAAGAAATACTATGGAAACACGAGCCGATAGGCGAGTGTTTTCACAGTTTTGACAAGCTCTCACAAACTTTAGAGAAAACACGAATAACATGTTTTCTATTTTATTTAGAAAATTCCGCGACAACGAAAAGGAAATAACTTTACTTTGATCAGCAAAATGTAAATTATCTTAGCTCGCACCATCACTACGTCAACAGATTGCTCTAGTTTTGTGTTTTATCGAGTTTAAGTATAAATCTACCAGCGTTAAATCACGAATGCCGTTCTCCAATTGGCTAAGCTACTTGCTATCTATTCTCTTGTGATAGTGAGTGTGCGTTTGTGCACAAAATGACGGCTGCTTCTTTTGTTATCGAGTTGTCTGTGAAGAAGATTTAGATAAAGTGTTGAACGATTAGTAGATCAGATTTACACTGAAACAATTGGATCATTCGCTCTCAATTTCTACGCGTCATAGAAGTCTCGAGATCATAATCTAAATAGAAACTCGATTTTCAATCAATCTGGGCTATTTTCTAATTTACAGTATGTACTAGTCCTATTCATGATAATATAGAAATAGCGTTCTCTGGTAAAAAGAATTAAGAAAAAATAAACTTTTGACAACCGGTCTACTGTCTTCGACGGATAAAATCTATATAGTTATAAAAATAATGTAACGTTAAAAATTTGAATAGAGAGAGTAATTCGCGTAAATTAAAAAAAATTACTGCACGTAGAAAGTTCTATTCATGTTGTTCGATGCATTGTCGGGTATTGTGAAAAGCGCATCCTGTCAGTAGCATGCTGACGTATTTATGGGGAAATTGACTTATACGGTCCATTATTTTTGACCTTGTGCTCTGAGTCAAATCACCCAATTCAGGACAATAGACCAATCATAACGTACATTGTAACTGACAATGTTGCTTTCTTTGTTCATAGCGAATTGCGACACAACAGGATATCGCTGAATGATTTAAAGATTATTCTTAAGGAATCAAAAGACTTCAACTTCTTGTAAGTATGTTGCATCGCTAAAAGGAAAGAAATAAAACTATCTAACAACATTATGTCTTTTGGAAGGTGCGTTGATTATTCCCGACCTACTCAGTGGGAAGAACATGTCGGTTAACGCTTGTCGACGTCGATCATAACTCATAAATAATATAACAAATAAATCACAATATCTAGAGGTGAAGTCACATTAGCCTTAGCTGGTTTTCATGCAGCTCCTCCATCCTGGGCAAATTGGAGTTTGGAGATGTTGGTTTAATGGAGGGAGGAAAACCGGAGAGCCTGGAGAGAAAACCTTGGATTAAGGCTAGAACCAACAACAAACTCAACTCACTGCCACATATGGCACCGGGCCGGAATTGAACCCGGGCCACATTGGTGGGAGGCGAGCACTCTCACCACAGCACCTTCCCTGCTCCCCACATTCTCATATTCCACAAGTTCGGTCTCAACACTGACACAAAGTTGAAAGCTTTTGGTGAAAAAGCTTTTAAATTTTAAAATGTCTTGAAGCGAAAACGAAGGTTGGCATTAGTTGCCATTTTTGTACTACTGAATCTTCGATTTAAGTTAAGTTTACTGCAGCTGTATTTCCTCTGCAGAGATATATCAGGAAATCCAATTGGACCTAATTTAACGTCAGACACTTTTGCTGGATTTCACAAGATGGTTCATTTGTAAGTTCTTTGTAACTCTCTGATTTCTTTGTCTCGTTTTTCTTTTTCTGGGGAGATGGTGTTCCTTGCCATAAATTTATAAAAATAAAATTCATTATATGATTTCAGTGTTTACAGCACGTGGCGTCTTGTGGAGGAAACACATTTTGAAAATATGACTCCAACCTTATTCAAACTATCTTTTTCTTAACACGTGGATTATTTTGTTAGAAAGATGGAAGGATGTGGTCTTCAGCACATTGAGAGTAGAAGCTTCCGAGCGATGAACAAATTGCAGGAAATGTAAGTTTATTTCTCAGTCCACTCAAGTAATTCAAGGCCTGGATCAAAGACTTTTACTTGTGAAAATAATTTATTAGCTGTATTTCTAAAAACATAAATGACAATGGAACCAAATTCAGCACACAGCTAGGATTTTACGTTCTCAACATTTTAAAGTAGAATTTGCACTTCTGACAGTTCATGTGGCATGTCACGTGGCGTTAAGCGGAAAATAGCCATTATTTGAGGAATTGATGGCAGTGGAGACGCGTTGGCCTCATGGTTAGTGCGCTCGTCCCCGGATCGAGTACTCCTAGCCGCTTCATGCTACAGAAGCCGGGATAAACCCCGGCAGCTATGAGCCAGTCGGCTCCAAGGTTATACTTTAATAATATAATCCAACAACACCGGGTTTTAGATGCAGGTCAATTATTTCCATCCCCTCACTTTTGGAATGACCGTCTCCCTTTTCGCATAAAAGATTTTGTAGGGTCAAAATTCGATTTTTTGGTCATTCATATGCTCTAAAAATGAAATGAAGGAAGATCATCCTAAACCTACCAAGGTGTATAATTAAAATTTGATTCGTAAACGCTCATTTTTTGATCAGTGCAATCCAAATTCGCCACCAATTCATTAATTTACTAAATTTTAACAAAGTGATCACATGACATGTCACCTGATTAATTCATGTGTTAAGGCAAAGCAGGACGCGGAATTTTATAATGAGAGAAAATTTCAGCTTGACAAAATATGACAAGAGATATAGCTGGCCAACCGAAATTTTCTTTACATTCCTGACCAAGGCCTTAAACTGCTTGAGAGGTCGATTAAAGCAAACTAATTCTGCCTGCATTAAAAGATCAATATGTTTTTTTAACCTGAGAAAATAATAAAATCACGTTATTGCGATCACCAGGTGTAATAATTTTGGTTTTAGCAAAGCCATACCGTAATGATTCGATTCAGCGCCCGGGGCGATTATTTACTTTTAGTTCCTCGGGGGAGGGCGCTTATTTCTTTTTTGAGAAAGAACCGAATGTTCAAAGCAAATTTTAACTGAAACTGTAACAGTAACAAATATAAAGTGAATGTTCAATAAAGGTGATTCCTCAGTTTTGCATTGCGCATCCCTTCTGCGCACGATTTTGGCGTCATAGGGCGCGCATATGGGTGCGTGCTTGTACACAACGTAAGAAATTTCCCTCAAGCTAAGCTCGATAGCGGAATTTATGTTCGTTGTCTCTCAAAAGAGCATGGTGACCTATATTTTTTGTTATATAAATTCGGTGGCAAAATGATCCTAAGTTAAAAAATTAGAAAAAATTGTTCGGAGGGAAATAAGGATATCGCTAAAAGAGTGCACGAAATTGTTACTCGAGGATGCAAATTATGACCTCGAAAAGAACGACTGGAGGGACATTTTGAGTAGTGTCATTTAGAGCTATTTAGAATTGTGTGACTTTTCCATAAATTACATATTACATTACAGTGCCCGAGACTTTCTGCCTATCAAGATTTTTTTTCAAGTATTGTTTTAATAACCTCTGCCTCAAGCTACTGCAAAGTTTAACGTGAACTGATGAAATAACTGGCGTAATTAGACATAAATGGGGTAAAATTGACCCATCATATCTCTTTAACGAGCATGGTGACCTATCATTTTTATTGTATTTTTGGAAACAGTGCTTGGTAGAGAACTATCAAGGGAAGTTTCAAATAAATTGTTCGGCAACGTTTAGTTCTGAGGAATCACCTTAACGTGAGGTAATTTTAATCTATTTCGACGCCAATAGCTTTGACGGTGTCACCTACATACATCGATATGTAAATGAAAACTTAGCTTTCTGTTGCGATGTCTTCGACGTCCAATTCGGTTATCCCGTCGAAAGGATCCACGTCGTGTGAATTGCTCATGGCTTTTAGAAATAGAAGAACCGTAGCCAGGACAAAAGTTTTAACTTTATATAGCCAGTAAACGTTTTTATGAATTTTTGATATGCTCATGGCTTGTTGAAAAACCTTGAGCCGTTCTAAGCCTGCATGGGCAAAGCTGAGTTTCCCTGAAGCAGAATAGGGACGCTTACTAAAAAAAAAGTACATTTGAAGGGGAGCGCGTATCCGAAAGAGGGGGCTTATTAGAAGGAGGGCGCTAAATCGAATCATTACGGTAATCAAGAAAACACTCTGTAAAAAAGTAATTATATTTAACTGTTACTAACTTAAGTGATATTTGTGATATTTAAAACCCTCTCTGCCTAAGAATATTTTTCGACTACCTTAACTGCGGCCTTCAACGTGTAAAATGATACAAGAGGCGCGAAAATTCTAAAATATTTAAGCAATAGACCACACTGTCTATATGTTTATAGCGGAGCTCCGCCGGCCCGAAGGGCTGTCAAGCGGCGCCCATACTCATAGAAACCCGTGAATCACTTCTGTCAAGGTAAAATGGCTAGCGGTATTGCTCGTAGGCGTGTACGCTTGACGACGGCGACGACGACGACGTCGCACAAGAAGGGAGCCAAACTCTAGCTAATAGAATATGCGGCCTTAGTTAACAGCGTACATCTTTGATATACACCGAATGCAAATATGGCGGACCACTCGGTCTTGGGACGAGTCGCATGAAAGCGAGACTAGTTAGGCTTTGATATTTTGTTTTGACAATGCTTCCCCAGAAAAGTCTTGCTTCGTCGTCGATCTGGTCTGTTTTATTTAGCTGTGGCTACGAGCTACTGTGTTTCTGAACGCCACGAGAAGGGATATAAATTTTCCACCGTTCGCCTCTTAAGCTTAGGGAAAATAGTGGATCAATGCAATTCGTTGAGACGAAG